GGCATGATGGCCCAAGATTTTGTTCAGCACTCTGAACTTCGATGTACGCGCGTGGGAAACACATAAATTTTCTGAACACCTGAAAGCCATCCACTTTCAGACTCCCACCCATTAGACTCACTTCGATCACTCATGACCATGACCATCATCATCACCATCATCACCATCGTCGCCATGACCATCATCACCATCATCACCATCATCCTCATCATCATCATCATCATCATCATCACCATCACCATCATCACCATCAGCAGCGTCGTTCTATCCATTAGACTCAATTGCCATTACTTACTATCAAAACGTCATTGCGCAGGTGTCATCACTCACCACTAAAACAGATTCCTCGTTTCACTCGTTTCACCGCACATGCAGCCGCGCAGCCAGCCATGCCGCGGGTAGAGGCGCCAAAGGATGAGAAGCCAAAAGAAGAGGGGCACGAGCCAAAGAATGAGGAGCCAAAGAAAGATCTGAAGAAGGGGCACGAGCCAAAGAATGAGGAGCCAAAGAAAGAAGATGCGAAGAAGGGGCGCGAGCCAAAGAATGAGAAGGCAAAGAAAGAAGATGCGAAGAAGGAGCAGGAGCCAAGGAATGACAAAGCAGAGAAGCAAAAGCCAAAGAAGGACCAGAAGCCACAGAATGAAAAAGCGAAAGCAGAGAAACATGAGCCGAAGAAAAAAGCCCATCTGCCGCAGCCGAGGCATCTGAATCTGCAGCTGCAGCCGAAGCATCCGCAGCCGAAGCAGATGCCACAGCAGCCGAAGCAGATGCCACAGCAGCAGCAGCAGGCCCCACCGCCACCCAAAACGCCGCCACCCAAGACTGCGGCAAAGACGCCGCCACCGGCATCTGCCCCACCGCCACTGGCAGCGCCATCTGCCCCACCACCGCCAAGCCAGGCATCCCCGGTCACGCCGCCCAAGCAGCAGTGGTCGTCATGGGGGCGGCAAGACTGGAAAGAATGGAAGTCGTGGAAAGATTGGAAATGGGAAGAAGAAGAAGAGAGGAAAAGGGAAGAAAGAAAGAAATGGGAAGATTGGGAAGAAAAGAAGAAGAAGGAAGCAGCAGCTGCTGCAGAGAGGAAGCAGCAGCTGCTGCAGCAAGAAAGAAGAGCTGCGCAGCAAGCCGCGCAGCAAGCCGCGCAGCAGCAGCAGCAGCAGCAGCAGCAGCAAGCCGCGCAGCAAGCTGCGCAGCAAGCCGCACAGCAGCAGCAGCAGCAGCAGCAAGCTGCGCAGCAAGCGGCGCAGCAAGCGGCGCAGCAAGCGGCGCAGCAGCAGCAGCAGCGGCTGCAGCAAGAGGCGGAGCAAGCCGCGCAGCAAGCCGCGCACCAGCAGAAGCAGATGCAGCAGGCGGCCCAGCAAGCGTCCCAGCAAGCGGCTTGGCAGTCACAAGTAGCCTTGTGGCATGTGCAGCAACAGCTGCAGCAGCAGCAGGACCAACAGCTGCTCCAGCACCAGAAGCAGCAGCAGGAGCAGCAGCTGCAGCAGAAGGAGCAGCCACATGCAGCGGCACACCCAGCGGCAGAGCCAGAAAGCAGCAGCAGACCCAGCGGCAACCGAACTTGGAACCAGTGGAAGCACAAAGCGGAACGGGAGGCCGGGCGGTGGGCTGACGTCAGACAGCAATGCCAGGAACTCAAAGAGGCGCGGAAGGGTTGGGGTTGGCGCCATGGCGATGGTGTCGTGTCGAAGGGGCTTTGTTGTCGCCGTGATGGCGCTTTATTGTCGCCGTGATGGCGCTTTACTGTCACCGTGATGGTGATTGTAAGTCAAGAAACATGCACACATTTTGACCATCTTGCTTTTGCCAGGAGAAGAGGAAATTGAAGGCGCAGCTGCAGGAGGTGCAGGAGGAGAAGCTTTTTATGGAAGAAAAAGCCAAGGAAGCAAGGGTGAAAACTCTAGAGCTCCAGGACAGGCTGAATGAAGCGATGCTGGGCCAGAAGCAGGTCGGGCAGGCGCTGGATGAGGCCATCAAGGAAGGGGTTAAGCGGCAGAAGTTGCTGGAGGAGGAAATGGAGCAGGTCAGAAGGGCGGCTCAGGAAAAAGTGAAGGAAGCCGACCTGGAGGTGGTGCGGGTGAGGACCCTGGCCAAGAAAGAAGCCGAGGAAGTTGCGAAGGAGCTTGAGGGGCAGCTGGAGGACGTGAAAAGGGAGGCCGCATGCAGAGAGAAGCAACTTGAGGACAAGCTGCAGCGGGCAAAGGAAAAGGCAAAGGACGCGACAGAGCGGGAGGAGAAGCTCGAAAGGAAACTCCAGCGAGTAAAAGAGAAGCTGGCCAAGAAGGACAAGGGGCCCCAGGAAGAAAGGGATCCGAAGGATGAGAAGGACAAAGAGTAGAGCAAGAAGAGAAAGAAAGACGATGACCAGAAGGACGCCAAGGAGAAGAGCAGCAGGAGAGAAGATTGATGATGGCTGGCTGAGCGACCCGTGCAGTTAGCCTAATTTGAACTTTGGTTGCGGCAAAATTCCAGGACAAACCAGAATCCTTCCAAGTGAGTAATCATCTCTAAACTTTCAGCCCAACCAAATTTCAGAATCAGGCATGTCAATCTGACATCCTCATGTGCCAAGTGTACATGGCGGGCTGAGAGAGCTCAAGCGTACATGGCTGGCTGTAGCGTGCTGTGCTAATCCCATTTTGTACAGATGGCTTAAATTTGGTTCTTATATTGACTTTCTGTAACTGAGTTTCGCGAGCTGAATCATCTATGAATATGGAATATTAAAGTTCAAATCATAATATACCGCATCAATCCCAACCAAATTTAAGCCTGCAATCCTCCGTGTGCCAACCAGACCAGGCCACGTGAGCCAAAAAAACATGTCCGCATATGTCCGCTATGTCGCCGTGATGGCGAAGTATCTACATTGATTGCTGTCACTTGTTGCAGAGAAACCGCCCTTGGAGCTGAGGTTGGCACGCTTCTTGGGCAGATAGCGCTGGCCTCGGATGGGTCAAAGGCGGCAAACATGTTCGACCTTGGAGTCTTTGGCTAGGCAGCTCAAAACGTATCAGATTTTTTTAAATCAAAACAGTTATCCAATCATCCCTTCACTAGTCAAAAAGCGTTTGCCCAGTTGCTGAGATGACACTATTTCATTCTTAATCACAATTATTCATTGAATCTGCACGGCAATTGCTTTTTCCGCGTTTCGATCATTGCTGAAATCTCAGTATACATTTCCTCAGCTGTACATGGTTTTCAAGCTTTTCTTCAAGCGCATGTTGGAGTTCAAAGCCTGTCCTGCTTGCAACTGGTTCAGCTGGCCATAAAGATCATAGGTACGTTTGTGGGAAATCCGAGCGAAACTCATCCCAACATCTGCTGGGACATTGTGGCTCTTGAGCATGTTTATCATGGAATGCCGCCCTGAATGTGACCGTATCTTCTCAGAGCCACTGACTGGAAATGTGTTCCGTATCTTTTTGATGGCGTGACACACAATGTCTTTCTTGAGATGTGACTTGCCAGAGCGGTCAGGGAATAGGTATTTCTGTCCTGAAGGCCACATCCAGCTGTCTTGGAAGCTCACCTGTCCACGGACTCCACAATTTCTCTTGCGTCTGACAGTTTTTCCTTCCTTTTTCAGCTTCCGGAGTGTTGGTAGAATGGCCCCCATCAGCACTTTGTTCACCTGCGGCAGGGAGTGTAAACGAGATCACACGTTCAGAAATGAATACTACGTTAGCAAGATATAACGAACCCTTTCACAAACCATGATTTGGAAATTTCGATCAAGACTGGGAACACCTGTCCTGTGGTTGGCGTTTCAAAGCCGCAATAGTGACACTGCGTGCGTTCCAATGAAAGTCGCTGGCCTTCAGCTGCAATACTTCACTGATGCAGGCGCAAAGGACATGTGTTAAAGTAATCGCCACCCACAGCCATGTCGGCCCACATTTAAGGATGTGTAGTCTCCACGCCGTCCAAACAGCGCCTGTCAGCACGGCCGCCTGACCAATCTTTGTGGTCCTTTTCGCCCTTTTGTTCTTGCTTTTCCTTTTTGCCATGAGTTTTTCACACTTGGATTGCTTGAGCTTGGCTTGAGCCTGGTCTTCAGATGGGACATGGGAAGTCGCTAAACAGGATGGTGCAAGGACTTCATACACCTGAGTTAGATTCCAGCAGGGTGATTGTCATGGCTCATTTCATTGTTCCAAAAAGCAGGCATTTTGCAAGGAATTCCTGGGACATCGCCTTTCGGGCATTAGGCGACCTGCCTTAGAGTAGGTTCTGAACAATCACACAATACTTTGGGGAGATCAAAAAGGCGATGTCCCATGCTATGAATGAGTAACAACAATGCCCAGCTGAGCACCCCCACCGCCCACCCATCCGAAGAAAGATCATCGCCGTAGGGCCCACCGTAGGGTACCTGACAGCCGCCGCCATCACAGCGACATCCACGCCATCGCAGCGCCAACCCCACCAAACATATTTAGTAGATCACCCCGACTAAGTAAATTACATACATACCCTAACAGCGCCATCACAGCGCCAGCCATAAAAACAGCGCAGCGCCATCACAGCGCCATCACAGCGCCATGCATGGAAGAATCAGCCCCATCACAGGGCCGCCCATTAAAACAGCGCCATCCCAGCGCCATCCCAGCGCCGTCAGCGCCTGGCCCCCGCACTGCAAAGAATGTCCCCGCAAGCAAGAACCAACCTCAGTTGGCACTGCAATTCAGCTTAGTCATGCGTGACTACCCATGTTGGACCCTAATGGCACTTAGACATCACTATGACTCATTTTGACCCAAGTTACAGTTCATTTGGGTTCAAGTAGCACCGTGATGTCTGCTACACATCATTTTGATTGAAATAGAGCTGTGATGGCTCTTACTTGCGCTGTGATGGCGCTGTGGTTTGATTGAAATAGAGCTGTGATGGCTCTTACTTGATTAGAATAGCGCTGTGATGGCGCTGTGGTTCTCCATCCGTCCTTACTAGACTTAGATGTTGTGCATGGTACCTTTCGACTTTGGCCGAGGTGCTTCTCAGCTCCATTTTGCCAACGTCTGCAACCACCTCAGCTCCAGTGCAAAATGACATGATTAATGTTGAGTTGCATGCTGTACATTCAATTTGAACTCTTTCCGAATATCATAGGGGGTATTGATAATTTAACATCAACCATCAGTTTACTTATCCACCATTCACTATCCATCAATATGCCATGAATGCTGGTGATAAACCAAAGGTGTATTGATATTTTATGGTATCATCCATATTAAATATGCATGTAAGTATATCAAATGAAAAACAAGACACCGTTAGTCATGGTTGGGAAGGCTTCCGAATTCATGCGCCCCCCAGTACACTGAGCTAGACCGGCTGTGATGGCACTAGAGCCCAGATGGACCCTACTCTTCAGTACTACAACTTTTGTGAACCATGATTAACCAGGCCCTATGTCATGATCATTTAATTATGGGCACCTACCGTTTTAGAAACCATGACTGTCTGCCAATTTTCCACTTGGTTTGAAATTTCTTGATGTATACATTGGCCCTTTTCGGACAGTTTTAACAAGTGACCTGGAGACCCTTTTTTATTATCAAAAAAAGGGTCCTCAGGTCACTTGTTAAAGCCAAGTGGAAAATTGCTATGACTGTCATGATAATTTGATTATGAAGAAACGTTTCCGAAGCCTCAATGGCTACCTCTACTGAACCTGTTTTGACCGTTGAGCTCCGGACAGCATTTGGCAATGAGAAGCCATCACGGCTTGAATCAGCCCCGCCATCCCGGCGTTGGACTGTGACGCCATCACAGCGTCCTGGCCGACACCATCACGGTGTCTTCATTTTTTTCGACGCCATCACAGCGTCCTGAGACACCATCACGGCGTCTTAATTGTGTGACACCATCACTGTGTTCCCAGCCTTGTAGTGGATGAAGTCGGCATGGCTGAGCGGGGATGGAATGGCCTGATCAGAAATATTAAAAAAGTAGTCTTCGAATTTTTCTTCTTGGTGAAATATGATGACCAACCATGACTTTGGTACAAAACCTGAATGCATGACAGTCAGAGGCCACAAGAGATTAGTGCAAGACACTTACTTATTACTCAGTGACACCCTTAAGCCAAGTTCAAAAGAACAGCGCTAGAGATGATTAAATGTTCCGTCCTGCCCCCCCCCAACCACTTGGCCTGAAGGAAAAAGATCAGCTGTTTCAAAAAAACAATGACTTTGTTAGATATGTGGTATTGTCTTGGTCATTCTTAATGCTTTAGTACCTTACATTACCTTGAAACCGTTTGGAAAATCAACCGTTTCAGGATGATAGGAACCAGTCTTACAAAACGCCTTGAATCCAAGTTGTGAAAAATGCACATTTACCAAACTAGATTTTCATTTTCGGTCAGCCCTTGCTGTGCGGAGCAGCTTGATGCCTGAAGGTTCAAAGCTGTCGAAAAAAAAAAATAGTCACGATAAACTATGGCTACCCGAACCTTCAATCCAAAATTTTCCCAAAACATATTTTTTTGGTCAGCAGCCTACAAACAAAAAATGAGTGGAAACATGTTTTCTCCTTGAGCCAAAGATTTTTTCTTCAATGATGAGCGCTGATGCTCATGTCGTTGTCAGGCTTTTAGGTTGCTATTTAACCACTGGTTCTCTTAAACTTACAAGTCTTGCTGGAGCTGGGAAAGGTAGGAAGTGCAGGAAGCCATGAAAAGCTAAAGGTGTTTCCCTTGGATCTAACACAGTTCCATGACATGCAGTGGCATGACATGTACAACAGGTTCAAATCTATAGCACATGCACCAGGCACAAAAGCACAAAGCTAACCACCAGCAAGTATAGTGTGTGGAAAGGCTGGAATTGGTGGATGTGAAGGTGATGGAAAGTGGCTCGTGCTTCGCTCTTGAGTCTTGTCCACAAAGGCCTGGATACTGGATTCAACTGTTTGCTTCATCTGTTGCATCATCTCTTCAGGATTGAAGGATCCTGGATCCAGTTTTTGTGGATGGAGGTGCCATAGGTGTCGGTGGTTCTGACGCTTGAGGTGTTGGCTGTGGAGTTGGTGGAGTGGATGTGGTGTGAGGCTGTGGAGTGGATTGATGGAAAGGAAGGAGCTGCTGAAGATGTTGAATATGGGACTGAGCTTGTGAAGCGAGTTGTTGATTGAGGATCGTATTTTGCTCCCTGAGAGCGGCAAGTTGAGCCTGAGTCTGAGCTTGAGACTGAGCTTGTGACTGCTGATTCATCATATCTCCTCCACAAAATTGACGTTGGAGTCCCATCGGTTGCGGACTCCATCCAAAGTTCCACATCGTGTCAGGGACGTTGGGAAACCGTCCAGGAAACATGGCAGCACTGTCAGGTTGTTCTAGTGAAAAAACCTAGTTCAAAAAGATGCATCCACAATCCATGCAAGATTCGTGATAAGGCTCAAAGGCCCTCGGTATTCAATTCAACCCCATTAAGTGCACAATTGAACCTCACCAACGACCATAAAAGGAAAAAACACCATACCTGCAAGCATGTCCTTTCGCCTGATCACATGAGCATGCCTGACATGTGGTCTGTCTCTTGAGCAGCACTGAAAAAGGGAATGATGTTGTCGCGGCTTCAGGCTACAGACCCTTGCATCACTGAAATTGGTGATCCCACGAACAGCGGGCAGTTGTTCAACCAAACGACTTCGACAGGGTGAGACGCGAAACAAGGCCAGCAGTTCACTTTACTTAGACGAATTACTAATTCAAAAGTGTCAATTCAGAGATCGTTTTACGAGTCAAATGTTAGCCTGGAAAGGCTTTCCCCGAAGGGTTCATGCCACCTTGACGAATCCAGCATGAATCACACACTTGCTCAGAAACATCTTATCGAATTACTGATGTGGAATGCATCGCACGTGCAAGAACACCTCAGTAAACTTGACAGGAACGGTTGAATGATTAGAAGTGAGAAACTGTGCGAAGGTATTCTTTCTACGTCCTTGCTCGAAGGGTTAACTTGTTCTGATGCAACTCAGTCAGATTGCGAAAACCGTACAGTTGTTTGGTTTGAAAACAGTTGGAAAAGCGACATGCCGGTACTTGGCTTAGCCGGTTGCCATTGACGAAAATGAAAATTGGTGCAGGTACACGGAGGTGATCAATCTCCGCTTCCCCCATTGTGGAATAGCTTCGTTGGCACAGGTATCCACAATGGGCCTGTGCCCCCTGCATCTAGAAATATGAAACGGCTGCCGATATCAAAGAGGAAAAAAAGAGCAACCAATCATGAAATTCAGCAAGCGAGTTAGAAGTTTTACATCTTTTCAGATGTTCCACACACACTAGACAAGAATGGATCATTATAGTGATCCGGCAGGATCTGAATCCTGTAACATGCAGATTAGACAGGAATCGAATTAATATACGATGAAGATTATATATATATATGTAAGATCACAGTAGACAATGACAGTAAAAAAACAACAGCGATATAATATATTATATGTCCCCCCAGCTGCGTCTTAAATGCGCCCAGGGCGGGACAAGGCAGGTACGTTTACCTGATCTCCAGTGTGGAGCTTCGTTGGCAGAGGCCACAACTGGAGATCCCTCTGCCCCCTGCCATAAATAAAAATATAAAATCATATAATATAAGGACGAAGTTTAACGTCTATTCAGACGGTACACACACACACCCTGCCTCCGGCAGGGTGGTGCGCGTAAAAATGAGATGAAAATGAGGATGAACGGGGGATGAAAATTGAGATGAGAGTGAAAATGAGATGAACGTTACTTAACCAGGACGCAAAGAGGGGAACGCAAAAGAAGAGGGAAGGAGAAAACACCAACACATGAAACCTAGCCCGGAGCGGGCGAACCCTGAAAAGGCAAGGGAAAAGAAAAAAGCGGAGGGTCGACGGACACGGACCAAGACCAGCGGAGGGGGGGGAAGACGGAAGCGCCTGAACCAACCTGCCACAGCGAAAACCTACAAAAAACCTCAGCACGCGACGGAGCCAACCTACCTGGGGAGGGAAGAGAGCATGAGATAGGGGA